TCGTACCGAGATTCTTGGAGTTTGCTCCATTGAGCTCCTTATGATTACTTGTGAAGCACTGATCCAAGAGCACGTAGGGGTTGCGTCGACCAAATATTCACGTTCCGCTAGGTGTTGAAACAACGCCATACGTAGAAACGATCCACAATATGAGTGTTCATGGATTTTCGAGGTCCGTCCGCTTTCCTTAACACGCTTACCCAGCTAGGCAGCGAAAAGATGTTACAGCTGAATGATCATCATTTTTTATTCTCATTCTTCCTGTGTGTCCGTGTGACAGTATGCGGAAAGCTCTTCAAATATTCCGGACACAAAGTGGTGCCCATCATGAGCGCCTACATTGTCCATTGCTATTCAATTGTGGTAACTGAGATAATGAGAAAACCCTGGAAGGCCTTCAAAGCCTTGGTGTTGGTGGAAATCCTGTTGACCTTGATGTAGAAGACATCGTTATAGTCTTCGGAGAGGAGAAAAAGGCACTGGTGTGTTCGGATGAACTAATCAAAGTCATCTTATCCTTTGATATGCGTTCTGTACCCACAATTTAAGGTCATGGCTCTGGACATGCAGTCACTGAGCACGCCACTTACAATTCAGAGGGAGGAACTCGAAGTTGTCGGAGATTTTATGGGTCTTGTAAGTTGTATTAGTTCCTATTTAAGTTTTACAGATGAGGTCAATGCACGATCAGTCTACAGTGAGTACGATTTTGTTACACGATTGAGACGTGGCCATTTCGAGCAAAGGAGTGGGACTTATCCAGAATACCTAAGGCCCGGGTGACTTTTGCTATGTGACACCAAAGATGGCCTTTGACTAACGTTGTCTCAAAACCATAGTTCGTGTAGATTCGTACCGACGAATCCGCAACAAGACAACAAGAAAGTGTGTGTGATTTGATTGTAGCACCCTTCCGCTGCTTAGCTGCCATGACATCCAAAGGAGGCATGAGGGCTGGTATATTCCCAGGTCGCCCAAGCCTAGACAGGGAATGTCGAGAAGAAGAGGTCGGGTTCGAACTACGAACTTTCCGGTCAGTAAATTCGCGCTCTAATCATTTGGACCATCTCACCCAGAAAGCGTGTCCGTTTGTGCTAATGGAACTTCAATCGAAGGATGTGTTCGGCGCCAAAAGCCGCGGTAGTTAGGACATGTATTGCGCATGCAAAATCACCGTTTGCCGAGGAAAGTGCTGTTTCCTTTGCCCAGTTCGGAGTGGCGCCAGATGAGATGGTCAATCCTAGATCTGGAATGGGCATGGCATCGATAAAGATCCGGTTGCTGTCGGCGTGAGTCGTATTCGGGAACGGGCTGCGCATGATTTGCACTGTGCGCCGTTGGGGAAATATAGCTACCAGTGAATGGTAGAGGCCTTCTTGTTGCCAGTTTCCATTCAGACTGGCTGAATGGGTGTCTGGAGTTGTACACACTCCGGAATGATTCTTAGGCCAGCAATAGGTTTCTTCCCCACCCACTTATATTCTTTTTCTTCACTGCAGGTTTTTTGAGTAAATTATAGTTGTACGACAGCGGACCATCGAAAGATAAGAAGTGTTCAGCTCTAGCACCGTTCCGGTGCCTAGCGACCCGAAGAAAGCACGAGGGCTGGGATACTGCCATCATCGACAGCATGACATCAGTGTTGAATACTAATGTTTCGCTGCCGTACAACCGTTTTTTTTGAAAGCTTTATTGTGAAGAGGAGACTAAGGGTGGACAGGATACACCCTGCAATGAAAGTTTCCGTTGCACAACCGAAAACTCGCTTTTTGATTGCCTCGTTACGGATTCTTCGACACCAACCTACACGAACGATGGTCCTGGAACAACGATAGTCGAACACCTAAAGACGTCTCAGTTTCGCTGTTCGAACAGGTCAAGTCTCACAGCCACACGACAAACCAGCCTACAAAGTAGCCCGATACACACGTCCCTTGAGATTGAGAGATACACCGCTTTGACGCCAAAGGTATCTCAAATTAGAAAACGCGATCCAAGCCTTGTAAATTCATGGACTGACCTCACCTGTCACACTAAAATCAAAACTATTACAACTTCCAAGGCACGTAAAACACTCTACAACTTCGTGTACCCCCCTGGTGTATAATTGGTGTGTTCAGTGACGGCATGTCCAAAAGCATGACCCTGGACTTTGCGCGAGCAAAGAGCAAACTAAAAGATTTCGGCTAGTTCATCCAAGAACACCTGCGCCTTCTCCTCTTCGAAGACGAGGACCATAATACCTGCATATTCCAGACCGACGAAGTTTTTCGTGACAGGCTATTTAAACATTGGGGCTTCGAAGACCTTCTAGCGTTCATCACATTATCTCACCAATCACGAAATCTAATAGGAATGGAGAGTGGGCACCCCAGACAGCACCGCTTGTGCTGTCTCCAACGCAAGCTGTTGGAGAGCTCTCCGCATGCTCTCACACGTGCGGAAGTCTGAGAATACAAGTAAGTTATTGTGTTCACAGCCTCCCGGGGCACCCCTTGGTGGGGAAGCGTGCCAAAGAGAACATGCCGGTCAACCGAGTCGAATGCGCCTTTGAAATACAGGAATACTAAAATTGAGGGTCGTTTGTACGTTGGCGTTGTTCTAGCACCTGACGCAGTGTAAAGATTTAGTCAACGCAATCTCTACCAGGCTGGATCCCCGCTTACCGTTCTCGAGTCAGTGTTTCATGAGCCACCATAAAGCGAAGACACACAAGTGACGCGATTCTTTACGATGGGTGTCAAGCTGATCTCCCTGTGGTTACTACACTTACTAGGAGCCCTTTTTTCCAAAATGAGCACTATTACTGATTCCCCTGTTTTCTGGGACAGTCTCCTTTTCCTCCCCAAATGGTGGATCGAAAAAACGCCGACCAAGCACTTCAATCCCATCTCTGGATAAAACGAGTTGGTGGTCATCCGGACCAGTTCCGTGGCGCTTGAGAGATTTGCGTTCGCAAACTCTCCAGGTCGTAGGGTTTCCAGACTCACCGTCCAGGCTAGTGACTGACGGGAAGCAAGTGACTGCGAGTGACGTTCAAATTGCCCGACACAGTGGCCCAGACATTCCTTACTAAAGATGAGTGTACCACTGTGATCCATGGTTTTCGAGGACGCATGACATGAACCCATCGAAATAACTTCTGGACATTCACGGCCTTCTCAGTCTTCCGTGCCCATAACGTCTCACGGTCAGAGTGCACGGCAAGTCTCGTTTGATATATGATAATCCTTCGACATGAACTGTTTGGGACCGGCAGGAATATTTCCTCAAGAACCCAGTAGTGACATTGTTATGTCTGATTTATTGTGCCTCAGCGGGGCTTGAGGTGTCGTGCCACAGGTCAAACTAGCAGCACTGCACAAGGAAATGGCGTTGCATTTCAGTCCGAATTGACGTCTCACGTTGAACAGCTGGGAACAGAGCAGAAGGCAGTTGTGATGAGTTCGAGTAACTCCTGAATTCACCATTCTCTCAGTTGCTGCGCAACTTGTCCCCTCGTTGGCGGCCAACAATAGAGAACAAAACCGAACCCAGACGAGCGAATGATGGGTCAGATTAAACGCCGTCAGTCAATGATCCGCGCCATTGGTAACTGACGGCGATGTTGCCAATCAGGGTAGGTCACAGACACTTTTTCGGAGGAAACCATGTATTCAGACAATTTCGGTTACAAAAAAGTCTGCGGTCAGCAGACAGCTGACGCAGCCGTTCGCCATTGTCCAAGTCGATCAGTTAATTGAGTCTGAGATGTCCATGTGTAAATTCAAATCTCCCACAAGCAAAACGACATCTGGAGTTTGAGCATTCTGTGACAAGGCAGTCGTGGCACCATAAGAGTTGTCTTTGATTATGTCAGAGCGACAGAAAAACAACAAACAAATTTCAGCTAGTGAGATCCATTTGTGGACATCCCCAGGAGAACTAAAAGGAGGTCACTATCTCCCACAAGCAAAACGACATCTGGAGTTTGAGCATTCTGTGACAAGGCAGTCGTGGCACCATAAGAGTTGTCTTTGATTATGTCAGAGCGACAGAAAAACAACAAACAAATTTCAGCTAGTGAGATCCATTTGTGGACATCTCCAGGAGAACTAAAAGGTCACTATCAATGGACATCCATGACGCATCCACAGCATCTTCATGATACAGATACAGCGTGCTCTCGATTCTCAAACCCATCCCCAGCTCTGATCCAGTAGCTGCGGTGCTATGAATTCTACTAAACAGAGCTGATGTCATCTGCCCTCACATTATCTGAATCAAAAGTTTTTCTTCGGAGGGTTCTTAGGGCCCTACAGGGACTTGATGCTTCCATAGGAAGGTCTTTTTCGGGAGTGCAGAGCAACTAAATTCCTCTGTAAGCCTGAACAATTTCAGTCGCTAATTTCAAAATAAGAGAATAGAGGACCGAAATTCCAAGCGTCTATCTGAATCAAAAGTTTTTCTTCGGAGGGCTCTTAGGGCCCTGAACAATTTCAATCACTAATTTCAAGATAAGAGAATAGAAGACCAAAATCCCAAGCGTTTTTCTCTCAGAATAAGAACTCGGATGTAACCTCTGAGAGCAGCTACAGCCAAAATCATCAGGATTTTAGCGGGTATCTTACAAATGTTCAAAGCTTTCCAGGGAGCCAGTATTAGGAACGAATTCCGGCAAACTACCACCCACATGGTGCAACCTTCAGCCACTTCAGTTCATGAGTTTGGGACAGATTCTGCTCGTGTCGCAAAACGAAAGCTCTTCCGGGTTTTTGTCGTAAGATCTCAACTGAGAATTCGTCCAGTAAGAACTAGGTCGTAATGGGCCAAGCGAGACTAACGGGACAGGTCCAAAGGTCTAAATAAAAACTTTAAAAATAGAGGAAACTGGCTGGTGACCACAGAAAAATGACCCGGGCTCAGTCATTCCGAACGTTCGGCGGGAGAGCAAAAGCTAGAACGTCGTAAAAACACATGTCAAATCTTACGGCAGGCGACAGCAGCGATATAAAACGTACAGGCACATAGTTTGGGTATTTGTTTCTAATTTTTTCACCCTCCTCTAGTCGTTTTTCAAAAGGATGTTCCTCTTTGTACTTGAACTTCATTGCCCTCTGTTGGATTGCGAGACAACTAAATAGCGCGCCCTGAACAAGGCTAAACAAAGTCAGTCCATAAACGAAGAAAAACTAGTTCACTGTGTTCACAAGGTCTCAGCACTACAAAGAAGCAATTGCTATGATTTTAGTCAGAAACACATACTATTATGAGCTTGCGGGCGATTTTCATTTGGAAACTAAGCGATCTTTCGGACTAAAGCAATCGGACTGTTGAGTTCAGAGAACCAGTCCAAACTTTTGAGCCCAATTTGACCATTCCCGGGTCAAAGCGATTCCGTGGAATTATTACATCAGGCCTTCTCGCTATAGGTACGATTCCGCAATGAAATTTGCTCAACTGCAAAAGCATGAGGGCAGATTAGAATGGTTTTTGGCTTGGGCAAATATGCAACAAAAAGCAAGATTCGAGCAAAAAAACTTTCATTTTATTTTCCAGGTAAGAGCATTGCGCAGCTAATGGGTCGATTCACGGATTCACGGATTAATACAAAGGATCGAGGCTTTTGCCCAAGTTTCCCGGGTCGGTTTTGTTTTTGTCGGTCAGTGGCTGTCGTTCACCTGAAAGGCAAAAATGAAAAAAGGGTGTAGCACCGCTCTTTATGTTCTCAGCGCGGGGCAGTATGCTTGCCAGCGCGAGGATTCGCATAAATTAATGTCTAATAGTGCTTTAAATTGGGTTCGAGAAGGAGCGTGAACAACCGCTGGAGGAAGGTCATTACACGCAGCCACTACCCGAAATGAGAAAAAATTTTGTCTAATGAATGTGTGTGCCCTGAGCCTGAAATATTTCTTGCTATGTCCCCGCCGGGTATCTGCTGGGTCAACGGTGAAAACCTGTTTGCCAAGTCTTGTTCACACAGGACGTAAGTAAGAATTAGGTCCCCTCGGAGGCGACGGTACTCCAGGGGAAATAGATCAAGCACCGCGAGACGCGTTTCGTAGTTCACGGATTTGAGGCCGGCAGCCATTCTAGTAGCGGCCCGCTGGATACGCTCAATGAGGGTGACGTCTTTCGTAC